GCACCATACTAAACTCAGCGGAGGAAGCGAGAGGGTGCCAAGCCTTCCTCTTAGGCAACTGGGTCTAGGGAAGTTAGGGTTGTCACAGACACTAATCTCAGCACAGGAAGGTTATTCAGAAGTCATTCTTAAGCTCTTGGTAGCTTAAGCACACCTTGAAGAACATGTGAACACAGAGGATTGCGCTGCAGAAAAGCCATTTCCCCCACTGGCTCCTGCTGCCTCTGATGAGCATTCTTACAGGAGTGGTGCATGAGCTCCTTGGTCTCGGGGCCCCACTGAGCCTCCCCAGATTATTAAAGATCCCAGAGAATTTTTGTTTATATCTATTGACAGTATTAGAAATTAAATGAGAAAAACTTAAAAATATTAATTCATTAAAAAATAATAAACCCATTATGTCTTAATATAAATAACAAACACTTCTGAAAATAAACTGATTTTTCATAATACTAGTAAGCTCATAAAATAACTCATTAAGTATAAATATTTCTCCAAACAAAAATAAGTTCAGTGAAAGGAGTGGCAGTTTTACATTTTTTCAAATCTCTTTGCTGTCTGGCTTAATAGAGAACAGCTGGATTTCTATATTTACTTCCATGCTCAGAATGTTGGTCAGTGGAAATATAGAAAGAATACCCATCTCCTACAGGTATGTAGTTGGAAACAGGAGTGGTAATTAATAGCCCTTGCAGGTAACTGTGGGTTTCTTTGATACTACACCAAAACTTGACGAGTGGTAGTTTATGTTAAAGGTCAGCTATTATGCAGAATCTGACATCTCATCAGTGATGGTTCTCTACTCTATTAAAATCCAGTGGTGTGTCTGTCTTGAACTTTGAAGAGCTCTGTGGTCCATGAATGATTCTGTAATACCATTTACTGGGCATTTGGAAAATACTGGTTCACTGAATCATGTAGATCTTCCAGTGGGGACTCATTTCACTTTTTTGTTCAGTCCCACTGATCTGGGCAGGAGAGCCTGTGGCCCCAGGAAGCCGAAACTCCCGCTGATGGATAGAAATTTTTCAAAATTCCGATTTCACCTGAAGCTCAAATTTTGTCATTAACAACAAATTTTGTCAGTTATTTTCCTTAAAGTGACATTCTCATTTTTTAATTTTCTGAGAAAATGCTCGCTAAATATTCAAGTTTGAGTAACCAGTTTGTCCAGTCATTCTTCAAGTAAAAATGGAATTCCATGAAAAATAAAAGTGGTTACACTATTACTTGATTTTGCTATCAGTGTTTTGACTATAAGAAAAATTCCAATGCCAAAAAGATAACTAGATAATTTAATTGAAAAGACAGATGGCTACTTATATTTAAAATATGACTGAAATTAAGAGATAATGGAGTCTATGTAATTTAGGCCTGGGTCTAGATTCCAGGAGTGTTTTCCCTGGGCATTGTCCTTTTTATCCTCATTGTCCAGAATCTAAATCTTTTTAAATCTGAAAAATAAAATGGTCAGGCAGGATGACCTATAAGATTCTGTTAAGTTCTAGGACTAAGTCTATGGTGTATAAAAATACAGAGCACACATGAGAGGATGCTCACCATCATTAGTCGCTAGGGGAATGCAAGCCGAAAAAACCACAGCGAGACCCCACCTCAGTGCAGCAGGACGGCTGCCCGTCAGACAGACAGTGAGGGGCAGTGAAGACGGAGGGACCAGGGCGTGTGCACCAGGGTGGGACTGTGAAATGGTGCAGCCGCTGCTTGGGAAGGCAGCCTGGTGGTTCTCTAAAACGCTGAAGACACACACAGTTCACCTGTGACCTAGCAGTATCTCTCCTAGGTAAATACCCAGGAGAAATGGAAACTATACGCACACCAAAGCTTGTACATGAGTGTTCTTAACAGCATTATTCATGGCTGAAGAAATAGGAGCAGAAATAAACCAAAGGAATAGATAAATGAAATGTGGTACAGAACCACCTAACGGAATACTACTTAGCAATACAAAGTAACACCCACATAAGCTACAACATGGATGAACCCTGAAAACATGATGCTGAGCAACCGAAGGCCACACATTGAATAATTCCATTGTCCAGGTTTGGCAAATCTTTAGACAGAAAGTTGGCCTGGGGCTGGGGGTGAGGGGCTAGGGAAGAAAGGGGGTGACTGCTAATGGGCACAGGACTTCTTTTAGGGGGATGTTTGTAAAAGGGGGAACTTTGTAAAATATTACAAAGTTAGGTGTGATGACGATGTACAATCCTGTGAACAATAAAAGCCACTGACTGTATATTTCAAATGGGTGAATTTGTGACATGCGAATTATCTCTTAATAAATCTGTTGAAAGCCAAAGGGCAGTCTAGCCTAACAGGCCATATATTTAAAAGAAGTAGTGTTCAGCACAGGCATAGAACGTCTGTAGAGCTCTGCATGCTTCAAAATGCAAATTAATGTCTTTAAAAATGCTATGACAAAGCCAAAGTGCACACAAACAAACAGTGATACTTCAAGCAAGCCGGCTCTGAGCTGCTTCTGTGATCAGCACGGCAGGGGGTACTGGAGGGAGGCACCCAGAAGGCGGCATCTTCCCACCTGCCAGGCGGGGTGCGGGCACTGCTCCAGTTCTGCACCCCGCTCTGCCTGAGACGCCAGGAAGCACTGCCATGTGCCATCCCCGCCACTCTTTCTTCCTGCACTGTAATTGTCATCACATAAACCTGAAAATCCTACTTGCTGCCCGCCCCTCATTTCACCCCAGAGCTCCAAACAAATGCACAGGAATGGGGCACCATGCCCTCCCCAGCAAGCGTTCCCGGCAGAGGAAAGACCTGGCTGCCCCTGCTCTCAGTGACGCAGAACAGCACCTTGCGGTCGCAGATCTCCAGGGACCACTGAACCCCTCACGTACAAGGCTCCTCTGTACACCTCCCCGCATGTGGCAGTCTTGCAGCACCACCCACTCCCTGGCCGTACTGTCCTTGGGAGCAGCCCCATAAGCTACATGCCACATCACTGGTGTGCTTCCTTTATGCCTGTCCCCCATGGACAGGGAAGCTGTGGGAGGGCAGAAATCTCATTTGTGACTCTATTTCATCACCTAAAAAAGGGCCCAGTCCAGAGTGGACGCTCGGTAAGTGTGTGCTAAGTCTTCAGAGGGCAAGCTGCCCATGACTCTGAACACCGGCTTGAATTCCGGGGTGGGGAACCAAGCCCAGGCAGCAGGAAGAACATCTGGTTAGGACGCGACTCTCACAGGGAGAGGAGAAGTAATGATTACTTAATCTAAAAATACTCTCAAGGGCTTTAAGTATCCTAAGTGGCTCTTGGAAAGCACACTGCTACTGGGAAATGCCCGCAGGTCCACATGTGGTTCAGGGGCGGGCATCTGACCCAAACCAAACTGAGTCGGCCTTGCTCTCTGCACACTCTTTTCTTTTAGTTTAGGAGCAGGGCTCAGGCACTGCTGGCAGCCCAGGCTCCACAAATACAGAAAACCTTCCTTCCATGTGATATAATACATATCAGACTGTCTATTTACAAATTTAATATATAATACAGTAATACATTTAATTTTAAAATACATTTAATATATAATAAAGATGCATTTAAAATCAATGGGGAAAATGGAATACTTAATACATGATATAAGGACAAATGATTTTTTCAATCATTTTAGAAGAAAATAAAGTTACATCCCTACCCTGCACCATAAAAAAAATAGATTGTTATAAATTATAAAATGTATTCTTAACAACAAAATTATGAAAGCATTAGAAGAAAATACTAGAGATTTTTCTTTGTGATTCTGGAGCCTGGGAGGTCTTCCAAAGTAATTGAGAGCTAAAATTAAGGAGAGAAAATAAGATATTCTCCCATTTTCCTTAGTCTGAATGGGTAAGGTTTTAGGGTACTTCCTGCTCAGTATATGCACTGACTATTCCTTACATGTCAGTCTGGGGAAGGACCCCAAATGGCCCTCACAGTGCCAGGCTAACTACACACTGGTAAATTCTGAGCTTTAAGAGTCAACAATAAATTAAAATAATCAAGTTGATCTCAACTTCTGACATAACTGATTGTGAACTACAGAAAAGAACATTACTTTCATCTTTTTCCAAAGCAAACTTACTAAAGTAAGAAATAAACAAATTTTAGGTCAAGAAGGTTAGTCAGCTCTGAAATATATAGCTTTGGGGGAAAAAATAAGTAACTCTGAAGGAATTCAATGAAAATCAAGATTTAAAATTTTATATTAAGAAACAAGGACATCTTAATAACTGGGGAGTACTAATTTCAAAGGTGGATAAAATATCACCAATTCAAAAAAAAAACTCAACAGAAAACTGGAATTCAGTGTCAAACACTAAGAGTTTTAAAAGAAAATGGCATTACATGAAATGTTTCCAGGCAGTAGTGACTGAGGTGACAATGTGACCTGGCAGAGGACCTGGAAACAGGCTGTTGAGTATGAGACTAGAGAGAGGCTGAACCAGCTGTGAGCTGCAGGATGACAGAGGCCATCTCAGCCAATCACTGTGGACTGTCTTGACAGCGGAGGCTGTCAGTCAATCAGGGTGGACTGTCCTGACACCAGCTTTGCTCCATCACTATTTGAACTGTCCCATCATTAGAATTCTCTTGCACATGTATGGACAACATGCTTATTTCTATATTATATATGAGCACTATTACATTAATGTATATATGCTAAATAAATAAAACAAATTTAAAGAAGATAATAAATACAAATAAAAGTTCTACCAGATCAGCCCCTTAGGCAGTTGTAAGAATTATGTGAGTGTAGGACACTCTGATCCCCAGCAGGCACCGCATTCCATCCCTGGGGCTATTACTGCAGTCCAAGACACATTGCAAAGATTTTCATTCTTCAAGGTACAAGTACAAATTTAGAAGAGGTGGATTTTTTTGTGAGAGGTGTTATGTTAGGCTCAGACATCTTAGCTTATTCTAAGAATATGAGAGTCCTGTTTGTGACTCAGAGTTGGGACGTGCCAGTCAATCTGTAATCACTTACCATATGGACTACTTCTGGGTAAATAGGCTCTGTGATCACATTCCGGTTATGGGTGATATATTCTACCATTTCACTTAGAGCAGCTCGTTTTACTTCCTTCCACTTTAGGTCACTTAGTGGATCAGAAACAAAGTCAAAGAGGACACAACACTGACGTAACTTCTGGATAAAAAGCTTCTCTTGATCAGCAGGAGGAACATCTGAAAAGCAGAAAGCAAAGGATATTGATTGCAAAGATGCTTAACTCAAAATTATTGTGGAACACTTGTAAGCCTTCTCCTGTTTTTATTTCGAATTAATAGAGATTCAAAAAAAAAGAGATGGCGCAGGGGTGAACAGAGGTTAAACATTCTGAAAAGAAAGAAACAACAGCTAGCCACTGCTCAGATCATGTCCTGCATATGAAAAGTTTCTATACTTTTTAACTCTACAAAACTATGTCAAAACTATGTTCAAAATAAATTCCCTCTAAATGCATTCATTCAACAAATATTATCCGAGTACCAATCATCACACACTGGCACCGTGCTGGGCAACGGAATCAGAGGCGAACCACAGACCCCCGGAATGGGGGGAGGGGCAAGGACACTGCTACGGCTGACAACTGCAAAGGCAGGCTGGGCAAGGTGAGAAAAGGTCACAGGGGCAGGGTGCCCTCCCAGGTCTGCTGTGCTCTGAACTCACAGAAGGGGAAGCACTGGACTGTGGTCCACGGCTGGCGAACACAGAGCAAGTAGCATTAGCTGAAGCTTGTCAAGATGAGCTGCTACGAACACACAGCAAGTCACCACCCAGGCGCTCACAAAGCACATTCCATTCCTCATTCTGGGCTACGGTCAGTCAACACGCATCACACACCATGACTGATGTTCGTCCTGATGACAGCAATGTGGAAACAGGGCAAACAGCAGTAGCCACTAGGACTTGGCGCTTACCTGGCCAGGCAGGCACAGTTACACATATTTACACACATTTCTTTCCGTGTAATCTTTACACTGACACAGAGGTAGAGAAACAGGTCTAGAGGGTCACTGTAGGCTGGAGAGTGATGAGCTCTGTATGCCTTTCTAGTATTTCAGGAAGTGTGAAAAGCTTCTATCTGCCAGTGTGTGCTCGACAGCTTTCCTGGGGTGAGAAGATCAGTGGCGACACTCATGAATGGGGCTTATCCACTGCAACGTGCCCAAGACTTGCAAACTGTCTCACGGTCTGCGTGACTCAGGGAACTGCTGTTTTCTAAGTGACCAAGAAATGGTGTCACGGTATCATTCAAGAGCAAAGAGCCATTCAAAGTGCAAGTCAGCCCGCTGGACCCCAATGCAGTAAAGTTGCACAGCAGCCCACTGATAACGGTCTCAGACTCCACACTGCAGATTCCTTCAAGAAACTACCCATTTGTTAACTTTTGGTGTAATATCAAAGAAAACGTCCCTAACTGTCTGAAAAGTGTATAAGATACCCCTCCTTTTCCCAAACACGTCTTCCTACATTTCAGCTAAAACATGTGGCTACAGCCTGAAAACTGCCGCAAACAGGGGGAGCCGGCTGTCTCCTATTAAGCCAAACATAAAAGTGATTCGCAAAAACAAAACAATGCCACTCTCTCACTAAATTTGTTGTTTTATAAAATAGGGTTATTTTCATAAAAATATGTCTTCTGCTAACAGGCAATAGGTTTATTATTTTTTTAATTAATTAAATACATAAATTCTTTTTCTGGTTTACTTTTGAACACGGTTAAGATTGGTAGCTACCCCACATAAACAAGAGTTCTTTAGGGCCGTCCATCATTTTTTGGAGTGTGAAAGGGGCCCCCCTGCCATGGGCCGTCCTGTGTTCCTCTGCTCTTGCCATCTGCCCCTCTTCACAGTCCACTCCACTCTCTCTTTCCAACCCCTAACTGCCTGCTTCCTGTTGGGGTTTCTCCTCCTAGGACTTCCCTTACTTCCTAGTTAGATAATACGCATCACACTGAGCCAGTCGGTCAGCGCTTCCTATTGCTGTGGACAGTTCGCTCTCTGGCTGAGTATTTGTTACTGCCCCAACTGAGGCCCTGGAGGGCAGGGGCCGGGAGCTTATGTTTTCTAGCTCCCTGTCTCCCTAATGCCCAATATCAGCACTGCAGATGGCAGGCACTTGGGTATTGCCCCCTGAATGGACCCATCTCGGAAACAGCACCTCCTGTTCTGCACGCAGACATACACAGCACACAGCAGGGTGAGGGGTTAGGGGACACTGCCTGATGACATCTGGCAGACGTGGGCACCAAAGCTGGATCCACAGACATTTCGAGTATTCAGCAACCACTTAATGGCTTTGCAGGAGCAAGGGGCATGACAAGTCAGTGCCTATTAGCATTCAAATATCCAGCCTTTCTCAATGAAAAGGTTCATTTTCTGATTTATCTGCTTGCTTGACTTCAATCCTCACTCAGTTCTACAGCTTTGTTCATCCTCCGGTTTGCCTGGATCACTGTGAGTTCATCCCGTAGTCACAGCTTGTATATTTGGAACCCGTCAGCATCCTCACCTTCTTGGCCCTGATGAGAACTAAAAAGCCCGCATTTACTTCTGAGAGCCACTAGACACCCCCACCCTGGGTCTGCTCACTTCTGAGAGCCACCTGACACCCCCACTCGGGGTCTGCTCACTTCTGAGAGCCACCAGACACCCCCACCCCGGGTCTGCTCACCTCTGAGAGCCACCTGACACCCCCATTCGGGGTCTGCTCACTTCTGAGAGCCACCTGACACCCCCACTCGGGGTCTGCTAGCTCGCGGCCTTTGAGAGGTGGCCAGGCAAGCCCTCTGAGAACGCCTCCCTGAGAACCCTTCCAAGGACAGGCAGGCCGCACTGCTCTGCTCTGCCCATGTGGAGGGGGACCCACACACCGTGGCCCAAATGGCTTGTCTGAGGCCACAACTCCAGTGACGCGGCAGAGTACAGGTATGACAGTATAATGCACTCTGAAACAAGGGCATCACACAGCAGGATGCTCGGACCATTCAGGGAGGCGTCAACGACGTCCTACATGATCCAAAGGCCCTGGAGCACTACTCACTCTTTAAACACCATACAGTAGCCGACTCTCAGAATAAAGACTAAGTTGTCCCCGAGACTGAAACAAAGCTGTTACGATTAGGAAGAGCAGAGTAAAATCTGAGTAAATAAAATTTCTATCTTCAATTCTTCTAAAAGGCAAGAAAATCTTAACATTATAGAAGTTATGTCAATTCTCCCAGGGTCACAGAGAGCCAGCTAAGGTGTTACTGTACTATTTTCATTTATAGTTTATAAAAAAGTTTGTGATTAAAATCTCATAAGCTCTTTTAAAAGTTTTTAAAAATTTCATTTGGATATTTTTACAACTGTTTACAAAGCCTTTAAAAACTACTAAGCAAGCACTGTGATCTTGGAAGAAGAAAAAGGGTATCACAGAATATAGCTTGAACTTGACTTTGTCTTCTGACATCCATGTAATGTGAACCCAATGTTATAAAACCAGGTCTGTCGCTGCTGGTGCATCACACTGTAGTGCTTGGTTTTCAAGACTGCCTGGCTCTTAAGTAATAAAACATGACCTGGATCTGACCCAAATCTTACAATTACTTCTGTGAAGCAGAATAAAAAAAATAATGGACTCTGAATTTTACCCATGAATGACAGTGGCTTACTTAAATTGTATACAGACTAGTAACATTGACAAACTTGTTTCATAGCATATTAATGAGCAGCCTTGAAGCCAACAGAGAATAGTAACTAACTAGCACCACATGAGACAAAACTCTGTTGCAGCCTGTGGGTGTCGCAGGACCCCCAGTGACAGGGTTCCTTAACTAAGAAAGGGTGTTACAGAAGATACCTGCCCAGGAAAATGTCCATGACACCACTGGAAAGTCCAGCACTAATGCTGAAATCGCTGCCCTCGGAGAAAGAGGAAAATCAAAGAGGCCATCACAGTTTTGCCTGGAGAACATTAACATTAATCAATGTTTCCTTTGATTCTTTTTAAAGTTAAGAGCTATAACATTCTCCTACACTAATAGTATCACCTACACTTTATGTCCGCGTAGCTCTCTCCGCCGCCCCACCCTGTCAAGTGTCCGCATTAGGTTGTTACTGTGAGCCTAGGATCCTTCCCGAGTACCTCAAGGCACATGCTAAGTGATGCCCAGAAGCAAAGGACACAGGTGCACTCATGCAAACCTGCAGGGACCAAAAAGCAGAACAAAACTGGCCCTTGGCATGTGACATAACCTAAAGAGGGTGGAGACAGGAATGTGTTATTCCTTGAAAAATTTATTTATTAAAGGGAAGGCTGTAATTTATAACTGATAGAGATGTTAACGAAGGTCACCATAGAGTCGGGTGGGAATACCCCGCTTCCAGCTTTACAAACATTCCTGGTCCCCACAGGGAGGAGGGGAGGATTGTCACATCAGCTGCCCTGGAGCGGCTGTCAGGACTGGGTGATCCTGCTCGTCCCCAACCTCACTGAGCGACAATCACAGGGGCTCCCCAAGTCGGTAACAGTACAACTTCTAGTACTGGTATTTTCTTCTTTGGCAAAGAATAAAAAGTAAGATGTGCTAAAATTTAACATATAATTGACACATGCTGGAGGTATGCCTGAGGCTCCTCCACGGCCAGGCAGGGCGCTCAAGGGTCTGGATTCCACTGCTGGCAGTGAGGAGCTGCAGAGGGTTCGGAAGGGATCTCAAACGGCTGATAACAGCGCAGCCACCTTCACGGGAGGCAAGCGTGTGTGCACCCTGGTTACGGAAGGGACTGACATGCGTAGTACGTGAGACCACCAAATGGTAGGATGGATATAAGGCTGAATCGCTGAACGTAGGCATATGTGAAGAGGCATCATGGGAACTGTTTGTGAATAGAAAAAGGATTAAAAAAAAAGCCAAGTCCACCTCTACATAACAAGTCTTGGTGGTAAAAAAAAAAAGAAACACTCGAGACACAATAAAGGACCAGCTGCATTGAGACAAGCAGAACCAGGCGCTTCTGGCATGCAGACTATTGATGGCTTTTCCCAAAGAACGTGACCCCAGTGAAGCGAGCAAAGCTGCAAAACCACAAGCCTAGAGTCGTCAACTCAAGAGATGCCTCGGAAGGTACGTGCTCACGCGGTGCGAACAGCTTCCTGGCCACTCACATGGTATTTGCTAAGCAGCTGCAACAGCTCA